TCCTTCTTTGGCCCCCTGCAACGCTTTCTGCTTCCTCTTCTCTCTCTCTCTCTCTCTCTCTCTCTCTCTCTCTCTCTCTCTCTGTTCCACAGTTCTTCCCAGGGAAGGCCCCTCAGGGAACCAGGGACTCATGACTTAGTTTCCACCACCCATGAGAAACAGAAACCAGAAAACTCCCAGGCCACACTGGTCAACTCCAAGGTGCAGAGAATCATGTGCCATGGAGAATTCCAAACCCACTTTCCTTTTTGGCATAAAGCTTAAAACCTTTTTTTGTGTGTAGTTAAAATTACCAATCCTCCCCCTTATGTCTCTCCATATGTTGTGCTTGAAAGGTCTTCCCCACCCTCAAAAATTTTTTTCTACAAGTTTTGTTATTTTTGTTTGTGTGTTTTAAGTCTTTGATTTGTATGCAGTTTATTTTCCTGTGGGGCGATGGGAACCAGCTTTTACTTTGATTTTCCAAATGGTGCAGATCTCAGCACTGTTTGCTGAATACAGTGGGCTCTCTGCAGTTTATCAATTCGCTATACTATCCCTACAAAGCTTGCATGTGTGTTCGGTGCTGTTTACAGGCTTTTTGGTCTGTTTTGATGATTTCATCTATCTGTTCTTGGGCTTGGTATAAACAAGCATCTGAAAGCCAAGGGGTAGATGGGAAATACCCTTGTACCATGGATGATGGAGTTCTTTTTTCTTTCTTTCTTTCTTTCTTTCTTTCTTTCTTTCTTTCTTTCTTTTTCTTTACTTTTTTAAAGAAAATGCTCTTGGTATCGCTTGGGTTTCCTGGGAATTCAGGATCCTTTGACTCCTACCCAACCACTGACTTCTGTAAAAACATGTGTTTGTTAAAAAGTGCATTTTAATTTCCTTTCCACGCGTGTTTCTGTGTAAAGCAGTGTGTAAAGCAGTGAGCATGTGTGGTTAGAGGACACACATGAAAGGAGTTCTTCCACCATGTGGGACTCAGGGATCATGACAGAACATGAGCCCACTGAAGTACAGCCCAGAGCCAGGTGACTTTAGCCTTGGACCAGGGCTGCCCTGATTTGCATGACAGAGACTGATTATATGTCTGGATGGTACACCCATGGCAACTCATGCTAAGATCCTAGGAGCATTAACCAGCCAATCCAGACTGCCCTCCTCCTCATGAAAAACTATATGCCCAGAAGCTACATGCAAGGAAACTTCTTCCAAACACAGGAAGACACCTCATCCCCTTGCCTCATGTGGCATTGCCCTAAGGGGAAGGTGGCACCATACCTACTGCCCAACCCATTTGCTCTCTTCCAGTGTGCTCAATAAGCAACTATTCTTTTTCTGGTCTTAAACAGAAAAGAAAAAATATCTCCCATGTAATTGGAGGGAAAAGACAAAATTAGAATAGTGGGGGCATGTATTATGAAAGTAGTTTGTATCGAACATACCAATAAGCTAAGTGGAAATGTTCTGAACCATGGCTGTTAACACAAGTTGCATCTTTCCATATTAGAGATTGGCAAATATCTGAATGTTTGGTCTCAATGTGTCAAGGTCTCTTATGAATGGTAAATGGGAGTGGCAGTGGTACAAACTGGGACAATGTGCTGTCTATCAATCACCAGTTGAAATCCATGGACTACCTGCGAAAGTGATCTTACTCTTACAAATTCAATCCTGTGGGAACCATAGGGGCACAAGGGTCTATGTGCAAGTCGTGTGTATTTGTTGCAGTATTGATAATCTGAATAAAGTTCAGGTAACTAGCTGGGTGAGGTAGCAATGCCTTTAATTCTAGCACTTAGGAGGCAAAGAGAAATAGATCTCTGTGAATTTGAAGCCAGCTTGGTCTATGCAGCGAGTTCCATGCCAGTCAGAGTTACACAGTGACACCCGGACTTAAAAAAATTCTGGAAACTATATCTCCATCAGTAGGGGAGAAGAAGTAGGTTATGGTATAACCATGCAATGAAGTATCACACAATATTGAGTGAGGGTGTTTTTTTTTTTCATAGCACTGTGAGAAGGTAGTTGAGAAAAATTACCTTAAATATTAAATTATGACAGATCTATATCTCAATGGTATCAAAGAATAAACTTGGTGGTTGTCAGCCTCAGAGAACTGTTGTTCATCAGAAAGAGTGATTTTACTGTATGTGAGCATGAACCCAGATGCCATTAAGCAGGCCAGTGAGATGTCTCAGCTGGTAGAGGTACTTGCCACCAACCCTGACATCCGGAGTTTGATCCCTTGGACCCACATGGTGGAAAGAGAACTGACTCCCAGGAATTGTCCTCTAACCTCACAAGGGTGCAGACACATGCACGCCCACTTGCCCACCCAAATGTGCACACAGCGGAAACAAATGTGATAAGAACTTATTTTAAAAAAGTATTAAGACACTATGTTGGAGGGTAATTTGCATTAGCAGCTATTAAAATATGCATGTGTTCCGTATATACGTGTATGTGCATGGTATTTCTAGAAAGACATACTTGGAACCAAGTGTGCGTTGGTGTAGGGGAAGGAGACTTTATTTGTACTTTATACCCAACTGAACTGTTTGAAAGATTTAATTCCAAATGTTGAATAGTATGTATTACTTTTGTGATGGAAGAATATTAAGCTAAAATGAATTTCCAGATTCTTAGACCACATACATGACCTTGCAGGGGAATGAGAAGACAAAATCACTTACCAGGTGTAATGTAATTTGGGAGATATCAGTAAACATTGGGGGGTCTCTCCACACTATTAAGTATGTATTAGTAAATATTGGGGTGTGTGTGTCTCTAGGTCAAGGACCGATATAGTTCAAGGCATGAAAGAAAAGAAGACTGGCCACTTTTAGGGTACTTTTGGGGGGCAGGTGCCCAGATGCCACTCCCTGACCCCTCCACTGACCTTACCACCACCCATAATGGGTCAGAGAGAAATGGACTCTGCTACAGTTTCCATGGCAACAGAGGTATCCACATGCTAGCTTTCAGATTCAACCAGCCAGAATTTGGGGAATACACACACACACACACACACACACACACACACACACACACAGTGGAGAGCTGGTGAGAGATGGTGGGAGAAAGTCAGGGAGGAGAGGGGAAAGAGATGGAGAAAGATAGGAAGAAGAAAGGTAGCTAGCTTGCCCAGAGCACTCAGTGAGTGCAGCTGCCATCAAAGAACACTGGCTACGGCCAGACACTGGACCAGGACTGCATCTTGAATCCACTAAAGCCTGGGCGCCTTCTCCACCTGGAGTTCACTCCCACTCTACCTGCTGGTGGGTGGCAGATCACCCATCTACATACATTCTCCCCATCTTGTAGATGAGGTGGTGGGGTTCAGAGGGCTTCAGAAATGCATGAGAAGAGTGCCTGACTCCAAGACTAACTAACATATACCAAGAACACCGAGGGTCCCCAGAGAAGCACAGAGGAGAGTCCCCAGTGTCCAGGAGGTGTGTGGCCCATGCGTGTGTGGAGATTGGGAGAGGATGTGGCGGAGAAGGAAGGCACACTGCAGATGGTGGGATGCTGCTTTGACTCACATACTTAGGACAAATCTGCATGGTTTCTGTCCTGAAGAAAATGATTAAGTCATGACATGCTTTAGCATAGTGGTCTCAACTGGGTAGTTTTATCCTGCTGACCCAAGAGACATTCTATCATGCCTAGGAGCAGCCTCTATGGTAGAGCCTTGACAGCAGCAGTGCTGAGGTGGTTGAGGACTGACCTAACAGGACACTGGTGACCTTTCCTGTGGTGGCTCTGATTCCTATTTCCTTTGCCCTTGGTGACTGTCCAGTTATGGAAGGATCAGCAGTGTGATGGAGGGAAGGCAAGAACCCTGAAGGCCAGGGCTTCCAGGGTCAAATCCACAGGCTGGCTGTGTGGGTCTGGTTAAGTCAGCTTACTTCTCTGACCTTCAGTTGCCACATCTGTACCAAGTGAGGGTGGATGGTCCCCAAACCCCCTCCTCTCCCAGGTACCATAAAACCTAACAACAAGACTCTATACGAGTGCCCTGGGCCAATGGGGAAGTGCTGTGTACAGGGGCTGGGCAACCATACTGAGCAGTGAGTGGCATGATTAGAAAGGCATTGGAAGTTGTCAGATAAATGTTCAGTTAAGGATGGAGGGGTGACTTTCTAAGCCAGAGATGACCTGTCTGAGGGGTCATCAATAAATATGCTTCAAATGAAAACTAACATCATCGGGAGGCTTGGCATTAGCTGGATCTGTACCTGAGTTCTACCTGATATCCAATGTTAACTAGTGATAAACATCCATCTTTGTTGTTATGTGTGAGCCATAGCCAATCCAAGCACTTCCGAGCCCCTCCCACCCTACCCTGCTTAGGTACCTTCAGGTCAATCTGCCAACGCTGGCTCTCCGAGCTGCTCTGATTGGCAAGGTCCTGCACCTTGGCTTTACGCAGTGGGTGTTTCTTGGTAGTCCCAGTGGGGTCACTGGCTGTGGTAGCCCTTGGGCAGATCCTCTGACTAGAGATCTGGTTGGTGCTGTACGCCCTCCGTCTCTGGGAGACATCTAGACGTGGGCAAGGGTAGTAAGAGAGGAGCTATCAGGGTGAAGGGTAGTAGGGAAAGAAAGGGACTAACATGCCATTGTCCTGCATCCTGCTCTCAAATGTCTTAAGTTTCTGTTTTCTTACAGAAATATGTGCATGTGCTTCCCTTAGCATCCAAAACGTTGCCAGGTCTGGCCCTGGTCTGTCTTCCTACAACTGTCCCTTCTATGTGTGTGTGTGTGTGTGTGTGTGTGTGTGTGTGTGTGTGTATGTACACACACGCACGCATGTGCATGCGTAGGACCCAAAGTTGATGTCAGGAATCTTCCTCAATTGTTTGCACCCAAGTCATTTTCAATGGGTTCTGTGGATCCAAACTCTGGCCCTCTTGCTGGTGTAGTAAGCACTTGGCTGGCTGAGACATTTCCCCGGTCCCAGTCTTACGATTTTTACTTTTATTTGCATTTATTTTGTGTTGAATTTATTCAACACTATAGAATGCTGCATGCATTTGCCTGTCATCTTTGTGCAGGGGCCATGCTAATCTTCTGCATATCATTCTAGTTTTAGTATATGTTGCTGCTGAGGTGAACAGCCCACTGTATTCTTTTAACAGGATCTCTCATGGACTGGAGCTCACTAATAAGCTAGATTTACCAGCATGCCCCTGGATCCTCCAGTCTCTACCTCCCAATACTGTGCTTTAGCTAGGAATCCAAACTCACGATTTCTCAACAAGCACTTTACCCACTGAGCCATCTCCCAGCACCCTCTGATCCCCTTTTAGAGATGCTGTGTGGTCAGCGAAAACTGACATAGATGAGTAGCCAATGACCAGTGCTGACTATGTGCCATGCCTCCATGGCTCGGCCTGAGTGCTTCTTCTGGCAGGCCCCTCCTCTCCCTTCCCACGGCTAAGAACCAGTCCTCAGCTGTCTATGAACTTGCGCAGGTGTGCTTTTCTCTCTCCGTGGGGACAGTTGTTGTTTCTGTTCCTCGGCTTATCAGAGTTAAGGTCAGTTTGGTGCTTTGTGTCTAAAGGGAGGATCTTGGAGGGCAGGTGCCAGGTGGGAGCCACCCTATTGCCCCCACCCCCGACACACACTATACTCCTTGTCAAATAATCAGTAAATGCTCCTTGAAAATGCCGTTAAACTCAACAGAGGCACACAGGTCTAGGCTGACCCCCTCTTTCGCATCCAAAGCTTAGTCAGTTGCTGAGATTCTGTAGACTGTCTCCTTGTCTGTACCGTGGGTATCATCATATCCACTCCCACAGCTGCCGACTGGTCTGTACCGTGGATATCATCCTGTGCACACCCACAGCTGCTAACTGGTTCCAGAGATAGTTTTTATCAAATGCTTAGCACACAGTAAATGCTCAATATAAGGCAGCAATCATTATGGCTTCCATGGAAAAGGGAACAGAACAGAGCAGAAAGAAGAGGACCAACCGTGGTGGGTGGGGGAGTCTCCATTGCATGGTTGGGCATCGTTGGTATGCCCTGGGTTGAAGATTTTGGCACAGTTCCCACTGTCTGTGCCAAGTCCCTCATCCTGAGAGTGGTAGAAAACAGAGCTGCTGGACTCCTGGGTGTGCAGCGTGCCGTACTTTCGCCGTTTGTCCTGGACACAGGAGAGGGAAGAAGAGTGAGAGTAAAGTTAGACTCAGCAAAGACTTCCGTGGCAGCACAGGGTGTGTGGTAGGGGGCTTGGGTAGGAGTCCACCTCTGAGGACCTAGAACACTAAGGAGAGAGTGCTTGCTTGTTTGTTTGGAGAACTGAGGTGAATTTCTGATCAAAAGATGGTGAACATGGAGCTGGACATTGCGGCTCACATCTGTAGCCTGAACTTCATAGCAAGTTCCAGGCCAGCCTGGGCTACAAAGTACAATTGTGTCTCAACAACATAATATGAAAACAAAAATGAGAGAAAGAATAAGAATAGAATTTATTCTTCTATTATGGAGATATTTAAAATCATTGACTTTGTCCACTGAAAAAATTTAAAAATCTAATTCTCAATTTCATTCTTGTCTCCTAATAGATTAACTACATGTTCTTTCATTCTGCTCTTCATGGCACACACACACACACACACACACACACACACACACACACACACACACGTACACAACAGAGCACAATTTTGGAAGTCATGTAGTCAGGCTTTATTTTATAAAAACCAGACCACCATACACATTTATTAGTTTCTTGACTTTTGTAGTTAAAACACTCTGCCTGCTAACCATTGTCTTTAACACCTGGCTTTGTAACATTCCACTACCATCTTTAACACCTGGCCGTATAAAAGTCCACTACTGATAACCATTGTCTTTAACACCTGGCTGTATAACATTCCACTACCTTTCAATGTGAAGCATTTGCTTCATGTCTGTTTGTCTTTACCACGGTATGATCTGTTGTCATAAATCCATTACATTGCTGTTACATCTCTGGGGCAGCACCTAGGAGTGACATTTCTGGACTGCAAGATTCATGTATTTCTGATTTCACAAGCTATTTCTAGATTGGCTTGCAGGAGGGCAATGGGCAGTTACACTTCCATCAACAGCATATGAAGGTGCTGTTTACCCAGCATCTGCCAGTAGCAGGAGATGGCCGGTCTCGTGGGCGAAGAAAACAGAATTTTGAAAAATGATGTGTGCGCATGTGTGCATGTTTGTATGTCTGTCCACACACATGAGAATGCACAAGTGTGGGTCTGTGTGTGGAAGCCAGAAACAACCTTGGATATCATCCTCAGCATCACTCATCACTGTCTACCTCCTTGAGACAGAGTCTCAGGGTCCTGGAGTTTGTCAATAGACTCAGGCCCTGGGGGTGGATCCTCTTATCTTCACCTTCCCAGCTCTGGGATTAAATGCAGCCACAACACTTCCTGAATATGTGGGTTCTGGGGTGAAATTCGCTTCCTCACACTTGTGAGGCTGAGGCAGGCACTTTACCTCGCCTCCACAATTTCACCAGTCCAAGAGAATGAGTTGATGACTTGGTTGGGTCCCTCAGTGGGAATGTGTATTGATAATCTAGTGTCTTTCAGGGCTCCAAGTATAATTAAAATTAAATACAACATAGACCATGAAAAAAAAAACAAGGCCAGTATTTTGTTTAGAACTTTCTCTGTGCAGTTGAATAGCCCACCTTCCATTACATATTCATATTAAATTAAAAATTCTAGACATTTCATATAGCATTCCAGTTATTCTTAGAAACGCATCCCATATATGGCCTGTGTCTCAGGACAGAAACATTTTAATACAATGAAGGGAGGCTTTCTAGGTTAGTCAGGTGAACCCTAGTTATCTGGACATGCTCCCTTCTGCTCCTTTGGCCTTATCTAGGAGTTCAGCAATGGTTGCTGTCCTTCATGGCTTCTCTCTTTCATCATCATCATCATCATTATCATTATTATTATTTAAAGATTTTATTTTATCTATTTATGATGTATACAACATTCTGCTTCCATGTATATCTGCACACCAGAAGAGGGCACCAGATCTCATAACAGATGGTTGTGAGCCACCATGTGGTTGCTTGGAACTGAACTCAGGACCTCTGGAAGAGCAGTCGGTGCTCTTAACCTCTGAGCCATCTCTCCAGCCCATCATTTTTATTATTTTTTAAATACATGTCTGCTTTACAAGCAACTGAGCATGCATATTCTTGTGTGTGTGTGTGGGGGGGGTGCACATGTGTACACATGTGTATAAAGGCCTGAAGACAAGTGCATGCCACTGTACCTAGCATTTCTACACATGGGATTGAACTCAGGTCCTCTGCAGCATGGCAAACACTCAACTGACTGAGCCATGCACCCAGCTCCTGTCTTTTAATGCACTAAGTTCATTTTATACTTAGCCACTTTAGGCATTGAGTTTGTAACTCCGTAAAAGCCAACCATGATGAGCAATGGGAGCGGGGCGAGGAGGCACCTCCTCAGACAATCTCCCACACGTCTGAGGTACTCACAGATCTGGAATTGAAAATGTACAAGGAAGCATCGCACACAATGCCGTATCCCATCAGCCGTTCTCCAGGGAATAGGGAGTTGGTGCTGACAGGTGAGATCAGGACCTCTGTGTTGTCAGGGAACACCCACTCCACAGTCACATCACTCAGCACTGGGGCCATGGCCTTCTTCAAGGATTTGATCATCTGTTGGGCGGGTCAGAAGGAGTAGATGATGTGTGGGGAGGATGTGGGGAGATGAGGAGATAAAAAGATGGTGAGAATGTGATCTCCAGGGGAGGAAGGCACAGAGGCTTGGGGTAGCTGGTCCAGCAGTGGATGAACCTCTGAACTCCTTAGACTCTTGGAATGGATCTTTGCCCTCATCTCCAAGCTTATAAAAGAGAAAACCAGGCGATCTAAGTGTGGCTGTGATTAGCTCAATGGCCCAGCATAGAGCTCAAATTTGGGGGTGGCATCTCAACCTCACCCTCTGGGCTGCTACGCTGCAGGACTGGGAGATGCTGGAGGCCCTTCTGTGTACCTTTGGTTGAAGCCGTTCCCCCTCCTCCAGGAACTCTGCAGTGCCCTTGGTTACAGATGCCAGTCCTTTCACCAGTCGGAAGCAGACACTGGGTCCAATTCCAAAACTATAGCACCTGGAGACAGGGACAGAGAGGTAGCTCTGGGTCATTGTACCCAGTGGGATAAGAGACTGTGGTCCAGCAGAAGCAGCTTAGAGATGGCTTTGTCTTTAGGCAAAAGCTTGGGGAGGAGGAGGAGCTATCATGGACATACACACCACACACACACACACACACACACACACACACACACACACACTGCAATCAACTCCCAGTCAGCACTGGCAGCAGTTTCTCCTTAAGCTACACTTGGACTTGCATGCTGAGGTGTGGACAACTCACCCCTCCTCATCTTAGGAGAGGGAAAAGGGGGCAAACACGGAAAGCATTGCTCAGCAACCCAGAAACAAGGCACTATGGGAAATGCAGGTGCTATCTTCTCCCTCTTCCACTGCACATTTTGTTCTGGTTTGGGTTCCCCCAAACTCAGGCAGCCTGGGGTAATCGGACCCTAGACCTGCATGCTGGGCTCACCTGGTAGAAGAGGCGTGATTCCGCACCAGCTCTAGAACCTTCCCTGTGTTGTTCACGGCCCCATCCGTGATCAGGAAGAGGGTCCTGGGGTGACCATGGTGCACTGGCTTCCGGAGGACCCACTTGAGAGGGGAGAGGATGTTGGTGTTGCCCATGTCAGCTCGTGTTCTTTGGATGCAGTCACATGCCGTGGCCAAGTTCTCCTGCAAGGAAGGACCGTGGCAGGGCAGACAGGCCCTAGGTTCACCACATGGCACGGAGTCTCTAAGTGGCCCCCTGAGGATGAATTCTGTTCTCTGGCTCTTAGTTCAGGCACACCCCTGCCCACCCATAGGGAAAAGTCAGCCACTGATGTAATTCATCCACTGTCAATGTCTAAAATGTCACCCTTTGCAGAATAATGACAATATTGTCCTTCCTAGATTCTTCTTTGGAAATACAAGCACCCCTGGAAAAAATGTGAAATTTTGAGCTCTTGACTCCTCAACTCAAATAAAGCTCTC